GCGTAATTTGAAGGTTGTAGTGTAAACGGCAATTAAACTACGAAGAAAATAGACACAGGAAAAAGTTAAGTATAAGTGGTGGACGACGTGTTCCTTATGGGGAAAATAACACAGCAAAAGGAGAGTACAGGAGGAACGGAAAAAGGTAAATAATTGTAGAGAAAGGTTCAGGTGTACAAAAAGGTTTAAGATGAAAAATGGAAAACTTACGTAAACGTCCACTAGGGCGTTTTTTGTACAAAAATTTTTCGATAAAACTGCAATCAGTTACACCACAAAGTCTTCGAGTTTGGTAGGAAAATGGATATGTCTGCCGGAACGAGATGAGGTGCGTGGTGGAGTAGAAGGAGAATCAGGATCGGTCGGTGGGTGGGTGGGGTGGTCGAATGTGATGGTTGAGTGGAGGGGACTGAAACGGCTGGATCGGGTGAGGACGGTGCAAAGGAAGTGGATGGCACAACAGATGGCTGGATGCACTCAAGGTAGGCTGTATTAAGTCTGTCAATGGAGACTGTGTCGATTTTGTCAGCCTTCTATATGACGTTATACTTGTCCATCCGCCGAAGAACCATACATGGGCCATCATACGGGGAACAAAGAGGCTTGCGAACTGTGTCATGCCGGACAAAAACGAATGGAGCGGATTTAGGGTTCTCATGCACAAACGCACGTTTGGATGTCAGACGAGTAGGGGTTGGACGCAGTTGAGTCGTGCATTGTTTCAACAACTGTACGAAGGTGCTCGGGACGTTGGTGCTCGTCATGGAAGACTGCACGAATTCGCCGGGCAGACGGAGGAGTGTACCGTACACAAGTTCGGCAGCGGTGCATTGGATGTCCTCTTTGACAGAAGACCGTATGCGCAAAAGCACAAGAGGGAGATTGTCACTCCAAGAATCTGGTTCTGAATGGGACATTAGCGCGGACTTGAGCTGATGGTGTAAACGCTCCACAAGGCCGTTGGGGGCCGAGTGATACGCCGTGGTAGTGATGTGCGTGCACCCGAGTAGTCTAGTGAACTCACGGAAAAGGCTGGATTGAAATTTGTTTCCGCTGTCAGTGATAATGGTGACTGGCACACCGAAAGTTGAAGTCCAGTGCTTTAGGAAAACTATAGCAATATTTTCTGCCGAGGTATCCGAGATGGGAACGGCAATTGGCCATCGCGTGAAACGGTCAGCTGCTGTCAGAATATGCGTGTACCCGCGTGAAGGGTGTTGCGAACCAAATAAATCCAAGTGAACGTGGTGGAATCGAACATCTGGAACGGCGATTGAACTTGGTGGAGAAAATATATGGCGGTATACTTCATTTTTCTGGCAGGCTAATCACTTCTCAGCCCGACGAACAATGTCAGAGTTTATCTTCGGCAACATAAAGGGAGCGGCAATTGGCTTATGATAAACGCGGATGCCAGGATGTGACAGGGAACAGAAGTGGTCAAACACTGCCTTGCGGTAGGGTAGTGGAACAACAGGTCGAGGAGTACCTGTGGGTCAGTCACACAAGATCGTACCTGGTGATGCGGGAAGTGGTGCATCTCGAAGTTTCAGCGTGGTAGATGTACGCAGGTCCTTAATGGACTTGCCGCCTGATTGGAGGTCTGCAAGCTTCGTCAGGTCAAAATCGGATGTAAGTGTGTCGATGTACGGACGGGATAATGCATCAGCACTGAAGTCATCGCTGCGCCTGACGTGGGGAATATCTGGGGTAAACTGCGATATATAGTCCAGATGACGAACTTCCCTGGACGAAAACCAATCTAACTTGGCCTTGAGAGTGTAAATGAGAGGTTTTTGGTCGTTGTGCATCGGAAAATCTCTGTCCTCTAAAACGTGCCGAAAGTGACGAATGGACAGGTTGGTGGCAAGAAGCTCGCGAGAGAAAGTACTGTAGCGAGTCTGCGCCGGTTGTAGCTCCTGTGGAAAGAAAACCAATGGCTGCAACTGATTATTCACCTGTTGATGCAAGATTGCGCCGACAGCACTGTTGGAAGCGTCAGTGGTCAAGATCAGCTGCGCATGAGGGTCGGAGCTGAGATGGTGAAGCAAAGTGGCACAAACAAAGACTTTCTTAGTTACTTCAAAAGCTGTATGGGCTGCTGGTGAAAGTTGAATAGGCTTTGCCTTCGACTTCAAAAGGTCAGTCAAGGGAACCGGGGTTGCTGCACGGTGGGGGAATAAAACGTCGATAATAGTTGATAAGGCCTACGAAGCGCCGCAGCTGAGTGAGTGTCTTGGGGGCAGCGAAATACAAGATGCCAAAACCTTCTCTGATAGCGGTATTATTCCATGCTTGTTGACGTTGTGACCAAGGAAATCTAGAGAAACGACGCCAAATATACATTTTCGACGTTTAATTGCAGACCGTGTTGCTGGAAACGGCCGAATATCTGGCGTAAGTGCGAGGCATGTTCCTCTGCCGAAAAGGTTACGACGAGTATTTCGTAAATGAAGACATAAGTGAATGAGAGACCCTGCAAGACCTCTTCGATAAGGCGTTCGAAGGACTGGGTGGCATTGTGCAAATTTAAACAGACCAAAAGGCGTTGTGACGGCAGTCCTGGGAATGTGTTTTGACGACCGGAATCTGGGTGTATGTTCTCACGAACTCTGTTTCGGAGAAAATAGTTTTTCCTGCCAGCGTTTGAGGGAAATCGTGGATATGGGGGATAAGATATCGGTCGGGAACAGTGGCTCTGTTGAGTGCGCGATAGTCGCCGCATGGTCTCCAATCATCAGTCGATTTCTTGGGCGTCACGCGGAGTGGAGAAGCCCATGCACTGGAGGAAGGACGAATAATTGCTAAATTCATCATATGCTCAAATTCGTTCCTCGCTATCACAAGTTCTTCGGAGTGAAGACGGTGAGTTTGAGCGTGAATAGGTTGCCCCGTGGTAAGGATGTGGTGTTTGACCATATGCTGAACCTACCCGGTGAACTGACGAGGGAGGAGTAGTCATTTAAAATGTTAGCGAAAGCGAGCTTGGTACGGTCAACTGGAAGCTAACCGAGAGTTGAGAAGCGGCAATACCAACGGGAAAGAATGTGGTTGCGGAATCGAAAAGTTTGCGATGCTGGAGGTCGATTGCAAGACCAAATTGTGTCAGAAATTCTGCCCCGATCATGGGAAATTTAACATCGGCCTGCACAAAGACCCACTGGTAACGTCGCCGAAGACCGATGTCAAGTGTGAGCGACCGTTGGCTGTAAGTTTTGATGGTGGTGCTGTTGGCAGCCTGCAATGAAAGCTGCGAAGGCTTGAGATGGTGTCGCCTAGGAGTAGGGATGACACTGATCTCGGCACCAGTATCGACAAGAAAACGGAGACCGCTCGGCCTGTCACTAATGAAAAAAAAGGTGACTGGATCGTGATTGGCCAGCGACAGCTGTCGCCATTACTGGTGCGGTTGTTTCCCTCTGGCGACACCTGGAGGTATGTGCGGGGAGGAATGCAATTGAGTGCCCTCGGACCGTAAATACGATTACACCATCAAAGAGTTGAAGAGGGGCGCTCACGGGACTTAGAACGACGGCGTGAAGGTGATTTGTCTTTGGCCGACTGCAAGCTATTTATAGAAGTGCACGTGCTGCTCACTTGTGTGTACAACGGACCTACAGTTTCTCTTTGATCGACATAGTTGCCACGGTGAGGATTGACCAGCTTTCTTAAGGGGTCTGATGCTGTGGTCGCCCTTCGTGATGCGCAACGACATGATGACAGTTGCCAATAGAAGCAAAGAGACGAGTCCCAGGAAGAAGTCTTGAAGAAGGACACACGATCGCCGGGACACGAGCTTTATTAGCCTGACGTCTCTGATGATGGATTTGAGTGGGAATCTGAAACGTCAGGCTAATAAAGCTCTTGTCCCGGCGATCGTGTCTCCTTTTTCATGATGACAATTCTATATGGGAATTTTCGCATTTTAATGAAGGAGTATCTTCTGGACCAGGAGTTGCGACTTGATCGGAGTCGTTGTTGGAAGGCGATGTCTGCCGAATTTTTTACGCGTGACACGCCGACCGGGTGACATCCGCTGATCCTCTCTCCATGGTTGGCCATCTTGTCTAAAGAGGTGCTAGTGTCCAGAATGGCCAAGACCTGCTGCATGGGGACTGGCAGCTTATCCAACCAGATTTTTCGGAAGTTTGCGTCGTCCATTTGACGACCGGCAAGCAACGAACGAATCTAGCGTATTAACTGCGAAGGTTTTTGATCATCAAGTTCTACCTGAATAAACGATTCCCGTTACATCCGACTGGCCGATCTAGCCACTAGTCGGATGACCTTATCATTTGACTGAGTGTACGGGTCGTTGGCAATAATCGGGACAAGGAGATCATCGACATGGACTGCGACGTCCGAGGGCAGACTTCGCGCCAGGTAAGAATATCGATTGCGTTCGCTAGGGATGCCACTCGTCGAGAAAACGGTCTCAATCTGACGAAAACAAATCAGGTAATTGCCCGGTGCAAAAGGAGTTAGGTTAAAGGAGAGGGCATCGACGTCGAGAAGGTCCTATTTCCAATTACCATTCTGTTTTGCATACATAACATTGGCGACGCAGTCTAACGAACATGTTTTCCTTGCTGCCTACACCGTTACCCTTCTGGACGAAGAACACACAGAAGCCCTCAAATAACTCTTGGTTGCAATGGAGGAAGACATTTGAGGATTATATTGAATTACTCCCGATTTTGACTCCCACAGTTGTATTGGATGTCGTATCTAAGTTGAAACTCCTCCGGACGAATCTCGGAGAGTTGGGACAACAATATTTCGATGCCCTCGATCTACAAAAGGCTATAGATCTCCATACAGCCTTCTCAAAACTCGAGTCAGCGTGGGAAGGAAAAGACAACGTCTTTCTCAGTCGCTATCGGTTTCGTCAAATGCGTCAATAATCCAGTCAGTGTGTCAGTGATTTTATTACTAATCTGACTCTGGCCATCCAGGACTGTGGGTATAAAGAGATCAAGGCAGACAACCCCGGGCACGCAATGCCCGTTCAGCAGTTGATCGTCGGTCTGCGCGATGAAAAAGCTCTGGAAAATCTCTTATCAGAGAAGAAGGATTTGTCATGGGAGAAAGCCTGTGATATCGCCAGTCATCGGGAGCGCGTGCGACGAAACCTTCAGCAGGTGAATCAGTCAAACGATGATGTGATAGCATCCTTAGAATCTGAAATGGCTGTCTCCCTAGTCAACGCTGCTGTGTCTTCACTTAGACAGCGATCCTCAGCTCCCTGAAAACATCTACCATCCTGCTATCGTTTTTGTCAGCATCATGTCCGGTGGTCAGACTGTAGACATCCGAAGACGGTTTGCCAGTTTTTCAAGAAAGTCGGCCACATCGAACGAGTGTGTTTCTCTAAAAGACGCGCGAACACTAACGCGCATGCGACCTACCCTAATCCATCTGGGGATGGCAAGGCGATACTCCGAATGTTTTCGGCCAACGCTCCACTCCAATCGCCCTACACCATCACGCTTCAGGTTGATCAACATCCCGTGAAGTTTGAAATCGACACTGGCTCGGCTGTTACTCTCATCAATGAGGCCTATCTTCAGAAATTATCCTCCCTCCTTCAGGCTAGTTCAATATTCTGTAGTTATACTGGACAGAACGTAGAGGCCCGAGGGGTCTTTATAGCCGAAGTCGAGCACTATGGAGAATTTCATTATCTGTCGGTTCGTGTGGTGAGAGGAAGTACGCAACCAACTCACTTCGAACGGAATTGGATCACATGCGTGCATTCTGTACTATCCTATGTACATCGGATTTGTATAAATCCGGCTTTAGATTCGATTTTGGTAAATCATAAGGATCTATTTCGTGACGATTCTGCTACCCACTACCGCGGTCCACCTGTTAAGTTCCAGTTTCAGTCAGATTTCCGGTCCCGGTTATTCAAAGCTCTTACAGTCCCCTATGCGGTCGCACCGAAGGTCGAAGAAGAGTTGGATCGCCTACAGAAAGCAGATATTATTGAGCCCGTTCAATATTCGGGATGGGCAGCCCCAGTAGTTCCTGTTCTTAAATCCGATGCGTCTGTGCGTATATGTGGCGACTACAAGCTGAAAATCAACTCAATAACTAAACTGAACACTTATCTTCTCCCGCGCATCGAGGATCTGTACGCATCTCTCTCAAGTGGTCATAAATTTACAGTTTTGGACCTAAAGCATGCCTACAACCAAGTCGTCCTAGATACTGAATCCCGAGACGCCACCACCATCAATACTCATTGGGGATTATTTCGATATAAAAGACTACCATTTGGAGTAAGTTCGACACCCGGTTTATTTCAATGCTTGATTGATAACCTCGTGAAGGATATACCCCACGTTTGCGCATACCTTGACGATATATTAGCCACCGGCCCATCTGAACATAATCATCTAGAGACTCTAAGCATCGTGTTAGGACGTTTAGAAGAAGTAGGTTTTAAACTCAGGAGAGATAAGTGCATTTTCCTTGCCGATTCGGTAGAATACCTGGGCTTCAGGGTGGATAAAACTGGCCTCCATCCACTCGAATACAAGCTCACAGCCTTGAAGACGGCACCGCGCCCCAACAATACTAGTCAATTGCGTTCATTCCTGGGGTTGGTCACCCAATTTAGTCGCTCTATTAATCAGTCGACTACGATTCTAAAGCCTCTTTATCGACTACTTGAAAAGAATCGTTACTGGAACTGGTCAGAGATCGAACAAAGTGCTTTTGAACAAGCAGAGGCGGCTCTTGCCTCCTCATCTTTTCTAGTTCATTATGACCCCGAAAAGCCTATCATACTGAAATGTGATGCGTCTCCGTACGGCGTATGTGCGGTTCTCATGTACCAAATGCCTTCTGGTGTGGAGATGTCGATTGCCTTCGCATCAAGAACCATGTCACAGACGGAAACCAACTATTCGCAACTAGATAAAGAGGCATTAACAATAATGTTTGGCTACATCGCTTCCACCTCTATCTTTTTGGCCGACCCTTTGAGATTCACACTGATCAAAAATCCCTCTTAGGTCTGCTGGGAGGAAAACGAGGGATGCAACGGATGTCTTCGCCGAGAATGCAACGATGGGCACTCACCCTGTCTGCTTACTCGTCTGCAATGATATACGTTTCAGGTAGTGCAAACGTAGTGGCTGACGCCTTGAGTAGGCTTCCTATTGTGGACGATGGCATTAACGGGGCACCTATTTTTGAGACCGTAAATCTTATGCAGAACATAGTCAACGCACCTCTGACCTGTCAACAAAGTGGACAGTGGGCATCTAGAGACCCTCTCCTAAGTCGGGTAAAAAGAGCCTTACAATCTGGCTGGCCGTCCTCTACCTCCCTGATTTTCAACCATTCTTCAGCCGTCAGAATGAGTTAAGTCTACAAGACGGATGCATACAATGAGGTCATCGTGTAGTTGTGCCACCACAAGGCCGACGGACCATCCTCAGAGACCTGCATAATGCCCATCCTGGTACAGTTAGAATGAAAGCTCTCGCCATCAGCTATGCTTGGTTGCCCAAAATTGACGCAAATATAGAAAACGTGGTGAAAGCATGTCACATGTACCAAATAACACAGAAGACCTTACCGATTTTCCTCTGAAGCCTTGGGCCTGGCCCGACTCGCCGTGGAAGAGGATACACGTCGATTATTTTAGGCCATTCCAAGGCCATATGCTTGTAGTGATAGTTGACGCTCACACTAAATGGATTGATGCGATTGCGACTGGAAATTCTTGTCCTTCACTGACTACAATCAGCAAGTTGCGAACCGTTTTCTCTACTTTTGGGATATCTGAAATGCTCGTTTCAGACAATGGCCCGGCCTTTTCTAGTGCAGAATTTAAAGATTTCATGAAGAAAAATGGAAGTAGACATTTAACTACTGTCCCGTGCCACACTGCTTCTAATGGCCTCGCAGAGCGTGCAGTCCAGACAATAAAGCACGGACTAGCCAAATAGACGGAAGCGGACTTGGCCACTAAGTTGTCACGCTTTCTGTTCAGCTATCGCATTAACACCAAACGACTCAACTGGTGCTTCGCCTGCAGAATTGATGTCCAAGCGGTAGTTGCGCACACGACTCGACCTGCTTAATACATCAGAGCATGATAGTCATTTCAAAGCGGACGAAGATGAAAGCACTATATGATGTGAACACCCGACCACGAGTCGTCGCGCCTAAGGAAGTGTCTACACGCGACTGGAACACGAAACGAACTGGTGTCCAGCGGTAGTTCGAACAAGCGAGGGGCAGCTAGTGGAATTAGAGTTAGAAGGTGGGAGAATTGTGCGTCGACATCTGGACCAAGTTCGCAGCCGAACGGAGAGAGCAAGTGGAGAGTTTGAAAAGTTCGAACTGCCAGCAACCCTTGATAGGGATCCTGACATCCCGAGGACTGAACACCTACTGCCTACACAGAGCACAACGCCACCGACCGAGGCTTAGGTTCCTCCTCCTCCTTCTGCCCCGGCCAGCACAAGTTTAGGGGCAGAGGAGCCAGTGACTGCACAAAGCGGCGCAGAGGTAGAAACTACCGCCCTGAGAAGATCGACCCGAATCCGCAAACCTGCCCAACGCTTTCAGTCCGAATCTTATTAGAACATTGCCCAACTGACCGTGTCCGAGGGACGCTATAATAAACCTATTCTATTCTATTTTATTCTATTGTCTAACTATCCACTCTTACCTTTGCTGTTCCCCCTCCTCTCTTCCTCCTCAGGCTCTCCAATTTAGGGTGGAGAGATGCAGCGTATCCTGTAAGGGCCGTCAGGGCATCATGCCACAAGCGCGTGACAAGCGAACGATCAAGGTCATGACTGCTGTTCACACCTTCCTTGTACTGATTGGCCACCAATCAGCCTATGAGAGTCCTCCTGGCCTAATGCCCGGCCGTTTCTCCAAGCCTCCTCACTCGTGCTGTCTATCGTACTCAGTACACGTCGTATTTCCAATTACCCTCCTGTTTTGCATGCATAACAGTTATCGGCCATAGTAAAGAGGAGGGTGCGTAAATGTAGAAAAACGGGGTCGCCACTATTGTGGTGCAAACGGCAATTGAAACTACAAAGAAAACAGATAGAGGAAGAACTTAACTCCAAATGTGGGACCCTGTGCTTCTTATGAGGAAAATAAAGACAGCAAAAAATGAATATAGGAGGAACGGCAAAAGGTGAATAATTGGATAGAAATGTTCAGGTGCACGTGTAGATTAAAGATGAATGATCAAAAAGGCACGTAAGCCTACAAGGTGCAACCAAAATGAGGATAGGTAAAGACTGAGTCCGCAATGCCGGTTGTGGGAGTGGCGTTAGTGGTAGTCGTGATACATGATCGAGAAGTAAAAACGGATTGTCACATTTGACTACGATGAATTGAGACGTGGGAGCGTAAGCAATAGAGCACCAACACCAGGAAGTAGCAAAAACAGGGGACGCGTTCTCGCTAGCCGAAACCGGTTGTTGTGTATAATTTATATTATTAAAGAAGAGTACAAAAGTGTTCAAGTAAAAAGAGAAGTGAAAAGTGAAAAATCGAAAATGTACACAAAATACTAACCCCAGATGCCAAAGTCCTCAAATAGTTAGAACTCCAATTTCTTCAATAACAAGCCCAGTTTGCCATGTGGCTACTGTGCGACCATGGGTGCTTGGTTTAAATTCGAACTCCAGTTTATCTTATGCGCATAATGCAGGAAATCATTCAGACTGCCGAGCAAAGGTAACCTGCAGTAAAACCTCAACAAAACTTTCTCACCAGCTATATTTTTCGTAACCACTCTTTAAAATAAAAGGTGTTTTGTTCTAGGTTTAAGAATTGATCGCAGAAATGGTCGCTCAAATATTACTAGGTTGGAATATTATGTCATATCTAACTTGTACAACCGTGCTTTCTTGATGTGCAAACCTAAACTCGCCATGCGCACGCATCGGAATACTCGAGCCTAGAATTTCACATCTGGTTAATTTGTCGAGCGCCTACAATGGGAGAACTTGGTGTCAACTCAGGACCGTTCGGTCCTGACAGCCAAAGAGGCGGCCAGATTGTGCGAAACCCCGTTGCAATTGTTTGTGTGTTTTGTTTATTTCATAATTTTAGGATCTTTCTGCTTATGCTGCGAACTACTCTGGCTACATAAAGTACCAGCGACTTTTGTTTATAGCAGAGAATTGTCCTGCCTTAAAATACGAGGCATTATATCTTGCTCACGACTATGTTAAAAAATTCACCCTTGATACTGAGGCTT